TGTGTGTGTGTGTGTGTGTGTGTGTGTGTGTGTGTGTCGGCTGCAGAGATGACAGTGCCTGCTGCGAAGCAAAAGTAGAGCGGAAACAGTGAAGAACTTATATCTAGCAGCAGAACAGATTAGAAGATGGTTAATTGATGTTATTTATTGTTTTTTATCATCCTACAGGCTCTGACATGTTAGATAAATTTGAAAAAGACTATTTTGAAAAAATCCATAAGACTTGAAAAAAATCTGTAAGATTGCTCTATAAATCTGTACACCTGCAAAATGGAGTAAAATCCTTATAACTTAAGGACAATCCGTACAACTTGACATGTACGATAATTCGACATTATGTAAAATCTCCATTTCACTGCATTTTTGCCAGTTGCTGTGGCCCAGTTGTACTGGGAAGTGGGACTTTTAACTGGATCGCCCCTCCTGAGGGAATTCCCTGTCKAAAAGTGGGAGAGTTCAGATGGCAACTAACTTACAACTCAACAACAATGAAACTCTTACTTTTACTTTTAGTTCTATATTATTTATTTCACATTAAGTCAGTTGTACACATAGTACTTTTCAGTGTTTATAAGATGACATGTCAAAACACTGTTTCTATGCAGAAAATACCACATAGAGCTCAGTTATTGTTAGCTGTGCTCAGCTGTAGCAATGAGACGAAGAAAGTGATGTTTCATGTTTGGACAAAATTAAATACAAAACATTTATTATATAATGTTTGTTACAACTGGCCGTTTGAGGGTCATCATAATGACCATGTGTGWAAATGTGTTTGACACTTCTGTGATAAAATATCAGCAGGATATGGAAAAAAGGAAAACCTCGAATTGTTCCAAGTCATGGCAAAACTGAGAGTACACACTGCTTATTCTAGGGTTTTAGGACATACTGAAAATCATCTGGACTTAACTGGGTTATAAACTTATGTAAAACTAACCATACAAAAACCCACAACTTCCACRCTGCTATTATGTATCAAACAGAACTGAATCCAAAATGTAAAAAAACTGTGCATAAAATATAAAGTGCACCCTCGCTGCTTTCATCATATTTGGATCCACAGTAGTGTTAACACAATGCCTGGGTGGAAAAACATCATCAATGACTTTAGAGGAGCAGCTGCTCAGCTCAGACTCTACAGGCCTCAGTTAATAGGTTCAGAGGCGGTTTCAAACCAGTTTGAGTCCGTCTTCCTACAGGAAGAAAGGTTATTTACAAGCAGGAACCATTTAAGCTGTTGGCCTGACATCTTCACAAATTCAACCCAAGGCCAGACTGTGCAGTGCTCAGAGGAATAACAACAAAAAGAAGAAGAAGAAAAAAAAGCAACAGCTCCATCACAGACTCTACAGGTTAGCTGGTTAAAGTTCAGAACAAGACATTTACAGAACTAAAAATGTTTGACTTATTTGGAAGTGCTCTCAGAAGAAATCCTCTTCTCTCTCTAAAAAAAAGAACATGAAAACATAAATTTGGTAAACTACTTCCAAATAAATGAATAAAATCCACCATTTCAGGTTTCATTGTTATTTATACTCAATTTTGAATTGTGGTTTCTTTATATTTCAGTTTTTCAGTTGTTTGTTGTTAAATTTCTCATTCTTTCTTTGTATTAACCAGGTTTCACTCAGCTCTCTTTGTTCACTTTCACACACCTGTTATCCATCCATAATCAACTCAGCTGCCTCCACTCACTAATCACCCTAGCTATAAACTCTTCTGGTTTATCATTTTTGTGATGGATGGATGGATGGATGGGGAAGTTCATGATCCAAACTGCAKCCTAGAAGATGGTGGTAACGCACCTAAAAGCCCATTAAAAAAAACAACGGCAAAATGTTGTTCCTTGTTGGGTCATGTTCCAGAGTTTTGTAGTTTTTTTCTCCATTTGAAAGCCTTTTCATGGTTAATCCTTCCTGTTTGAGTTGTACACTTCCCTGCAATTTTGGATTCTACTTCTTCACACAACTTTAAAATTTAAACGATGCTCTTTGTGCTGATGAGAGCAAAGCTGTTTGATGAAAACCAAACATCGACACAAACGGGATATGGGCTTGTTTTACAGCCTTTGCAAGAAATTGCCAGTTTTGTAGAAATCTTAAGGGTGATTAAGAAAGGAGAACAAACAAAGCTTTTGTTTTTAAGTTAAAAAAAAAACACTTTCCTGACTGATTCATTGCTTCATTGCTAAACAGAATCAAAGAATAAAACCCTTTTAGTTTAAAGGATGAAGCTGCCATTMTTCTGTTCTTTGTCTTTTGAGCAACAAAATCCATCAATGCTTTATTCCTTCTCTTGAGTACTTTCCAGCGCCTTCACTGCATCTCAGCCTGAAGCCATTTGTTCAGGTTGAAATGTAAAACCTACAAGTTTCCAAAAACAGCTTGGGAGTGCAGTTTTTAGTAAACACTACTCAGTCAGCAATACGACCCAGCAGAATGCACTTTAAAAGCATTTAAGGTAATCCAGTAAATTAGATGTGCTCTCTGTACCGGTGCAGGTAGACCTTTATGAGCTGAAGGTTTAATGGAGGTCAGCAATTTATCCAGCCTTTGAGCTGATAATTTATGCTATATTTGAGCATCTTCTTTTAATATCAACAATATTTTACTTTAAATGCAAACATCAGAGAATTTAATATTCAAAAAAACACGACTCTGGATGAAAACTTTGAACTGATGACTAAAATGTGAGCTCAAGAGGYCCAATAACAATAAAGATAATGTATTTTTTTAATTGGTTCATTTTTTTATTTTCAATAAGATTAAGAAGAGGAATTTTTTAAAAATTGGATATGTGCAGGCCTATAGCACAAAAACCATGGCAAAACCTTTGGTATTCTATAAGAATCATGTTTTTGAAGTCTACTCAGYATAATTAGTCCTATAAATGCTGTCCACTTTTCACTCCTGGTGGTTTTACAGATATGATTTAGGCTTTAATAAATGTAAATTTATGTGCAATTAGAACAGAACATTAATGGAAACATTAGACTTGGAAAAAAAGAAACAACTCCATCAGGGTTGAACATTTATTTTGACCCCTCACTTAGTGTTTTATTGCCAACGAGGGGAGATGGAGAAGCTAGGSTTACATGACTCACCAAATGGACTGCAGGTGTTTCTGCCTCATTAGAATTAAAACCGGCCAAAGTGAGCTGGTGWAAAAGATAAATACACATTAATCCACAACTTGTTGCAGCACATACAGCACCACCTGCTGATAAATCTACACAGGTTCCTCCAAACCAGACAGAAAAAAAAACCCCAAACACTTCTGCTTTTATTTAAAGCAGCCTTGCAACAGCTAAAATCTAATTTGCTGGTTTAAAAAACAAAACAAAACACCAGAATTATTTGATGTCTGAACAAAATCTGACAAGTAAAGTCAAACCACCGTTGCAACCAAACAGTTCTCCTCACTTTTAATTTTCTAAACTCATCGCTTTTTAATTTTTTGTTTTTCTTTTACATTGACCCAATGTTGTGATGCAGACACATAAAGCTTTATTTTCTACTGACAACTTTTTTTTGAATGAGCACCATGGCACAACAGAAAAGCCCACCAGCTTTCAACATCTTTAAAAGACTTTCTGAGGATTTTACCAATTTCTAAATCATAAAAATGAGCAAATACTCCATGAAACTAACTGATTTAAGACCTTAAATCAGTTAACATAAAACAGGCTATCTTAAACTTAAGAAAAAGTAAGGAAATTTGTGCTTGGTWGATAAATCTTGCAATAAACCTTAGACCATTGGAAAGTCTGTTCATTTCTTTTAAATGGTGCCACATTTATAAGGACCGTGCATTTGTGGGATGAGCAGTAGATCTGAGTATGTGGGTTGTGGACATGAAAAAGTTGCCAAATTTCCTCTGCCAAACAGCTGTCATTATTGATATTTGTTTTGAGCTTCTGGCACCCCCAGGTGCTGCCAGTCAGGTGCCTGCTATAAGATTTATTGCCAAGAGCAATTGTTACACAAATAAATAATCCAACAAACACAAATTTCCTTTCTTTTTGTGTTTAAGTTTACCAAATATAAAAGGTATACTCTGTAAGTACAKACTCAATGAACGTGAATCTGACAAAAACATGGAAGCTTGAGTCACATGACTGACCTACATCAGGCTAACGGTCTGTAAACTAACATGGTGGAATCAGACTAATGTACACTCTCAGATATGAGGTTCAGGTGGAAACATGAGTGGATCTGCAGCTGAACAAGGTTGGTGCAACTCTGCGTTCAAACTCATGCAGTTTATGAAACGTCTATGGCCTCAAGTCTCAGCCTCATCTATCTTTTTATCTGCATACTTTACTCAACAAATCAGTGCATTAATGCATCAAAAGTGTCAGACTTCTCAAACAGCTCTTCGCCACCATTGTTGACCCATTTTTACTCACTTCAGCTGTTTCTGTAGGTAAACAAACAGATGGTTGGCAGCTGTTCACAAAATTTGCTTACAAATTTTTAATTGAAGGACAAATTAATCATTGATGTGGAAACAAATGGTGCAGATTTTGWTTCTTACATTTGAGAATTTTTCTTTATACCCAGTCTTTAATGCAAAGAGRATTATCTACCAAAACTTATGTGAGAGATCAGATTCTGTCTGTTTGTCTTTTAAATCACGGAACAATATTTTGACCAGACTGCGGCATTTCTCAACATTTTATAATCTTTGTCAGATGGAAGGAAATCCTACTTTTTTCTTGTCACACAAAAAAATGGATATGTCATTTTATTATTTAATTGAGAGGAATTTGTGAGGTTAACAAAACATTATACTGTATATACACTTCTCCAAAAAATAATGGGAACACTCAAATAACACATCCTAGGTCTGAATGAATGAAAWATTCTCATTGAATACTTTGTTCTGTACAAAGTTGAATGTGCTGACAGATATTGAAATTGTTAATCAGTGTTGTGTCCAATGTGGACGGTTTGATTTCACAAAATTTGATTCACTTGGAGTTAGTGAGCATTGTTTAAGTGTTCCCTTTATTTTTTTTGCGGTATATATATATCTCCAGCACCCTGACTGTACACAAGCCGTAAGGAAGGAGGCAGAGGACTAGTGTGTGTGAGAGCCACTGTCCAGGATGAAACATCCAACATCCATAAATACATC